CATGTTCAGATCTTCAGGGATCAGTAGTTTCACTGTTATTTCAGAGAAGTTATACAAGTGGTTCAAATGAGGATTATAACTTTTTAAAAACAACTCCCACAAATCTATTTTGCAGCATATAATTTTTTTTTTGATTTGTGAAAGATTTAACAAATAGCTAGTTACCAATCTGTTAAACTTTTAAAACTTTGGAACAGAAAAGTGAGCTCAAAGCATATTACCTTCTCTCCTTCTTCCTCCATATTCTCTACTCATTAAAGCAAATGAATCTAATGAGTGAGTGCAATTAGTCTCTCATTTTACTTGTTTTTACACTTCCTGAGATATCATTTATTAACTAATTTATATTACCTTAATGAACAGATGTGGAGGTTCTCTTAATTTTCTCATGCAACCTGAAAAGTGGAAATAATATATATAGAGGTTTTCCCAAATGAGCAAAGCCTTTGTTAAGCCTGGTAATTTGATCATGCAAAATCCATCAGGATTAGGATGTTTACATTTCTCTCTCTTTTCTAGGGAAAATAGGAAAATTGAACCAGTGAGAGTTAGCTTTAAAGTGTAGGGATGGAGTCAAGATGGCTCACTGGTAAAGGCACCCGCTCCACAAGCCTGCTACCTGCATTTGATTCCTGGATCTAGTGGTGGAAGGAGATAACCAGACTCCACCTGAAAAAAACATGCACCCCTTCCAAAAAAAAAAAAAAAAAGAATTAATTATGAATATGAGATCATCTTATAGAATTTTGGTATTGATATACAATAACTGTAAATCCCAGTAGGAATAGAGTAAAAATGAAATTTGCATTCTATTTGGAAGATGTTTCAATTGAAGTTGTAAAAGAATGATACTGGTCGTATGGCTCAAGTTTATTTCTGCGGATGCCTCTTACACCTGTGATACGTGATGCTTTCATTATTGAACATCTTGACATATTAAGATTCTTCATTGTATTTGGTCCAGGTCTAACAGCGTGAATTCTCACTGGGCCTGGTCTCATTCAGAGGTCAATATTGAGCAAGTCTGATCCTTTTGACAGGATGTTGTAAGTTCTTGTTAAACTCATTAAGTGTTGTGTGTTCAAACTTTTTTGCAGCAGAGTGTACATGTGTAGATCAGAGGACAACTTTCAGGAGTTAATTCTCTCCTTTCATCTTTGGGTCCTGGCAGACGCCTTTAACTGTTAAGCTATATTGCTGACCCTATAAATTCTTCTTAAAATGTGTCTTTGTCTTGCTGATCTCTGGAATTTACTGTCTAGCCAATCTAGCCAAATTGATGAGCTCTAGGCTCAGTGGGATGTGGTGTTTCAAAACCAAACCAAACCAAACCAAACCAAACCAAACCAAACCAAACCAAACCAAACCAAACAAACAAACCAAAGCCAGGTGCATTGAAAATAGGAGGAGAAAGCTATATAGAGAGAAAATGCGCTTAATGTTGATCCCTGTCTGGTTTCCGAGAGCACGTGGTGTATACACACATACACCTCTCAATAACAACACAAAATTCATCTTTTAAAGAAAACCTCTACATTAAAATTGGGAAAATGCCTACCATTGGCACAGACCTTGGTGAGTTTTGATTTTTTTTTTTTTTTTTTTTTTTTTTTGCTAAGGGTTAATTGATGCTTTTAGTCTAAAAAGCTTCTTTTCTCTTTCTAGTAAATTTATTTGGGCATGATGGCCTACACTTAGACAGCAGGCCCACTGCAAGTTTGAGATGAATTTGGGCTACACAGTATCAGGCCAGCCAGTGCTACATAGCAAGGTCTTGTCTCAGAAACTATACTATGTAAATAAAATAACAATATAAAGATTCAGTACTTACTGTCTTTATGAGCTGTATGTTCTCTGCTGTCCCCTTTTTCAGTAGTAGTAGTAGTTTATTCTGAGTTCATCTTTCAGTTTCTGGGAACCGAAGATCATATTGAGCTGGACATGGTAGAACATAATTAGATTCCAATACTTTGGAGACTGAGGCACAACTGTTGGGAGTTCTAGGCCAGCATGGTGTATGATAGCAAACACAACAAAAAACTAAGCTGAGCAGGAAGAAAACAAGACCAGGTGTTGGGTTATTTTTGTGCTTTGTGCAGCAGTTTGGATTCTTCTTTTTGGTTCTTATTTTGATGCAGATGTTTGTATGCAGCTTTTGTACTGATTTCTGTTTTCATTACTTTGGTGTTTTTTTTTTACTTAAATCTTGTTGCCTCATCGTTCTATAGTTATTCAAATATAAAAGACTGACCTTCTTTACATCTTTTGTCCATACAGAGAAGTATATTTTATTTCTTCTTTATTGATTGTATTTTTATTTTTTTGAGTCAAAGTTTTACCCTGTAGCCTTGGCCATCTTGGTACTTTCTGTGTAGACCAGTCTCCTTGAACTCAAAGAGATCTGCCTGCCTCTGCCTCCTGAGGGCTAGAACTAAAGATGTGCACCACTATACTTGTTCATTTTAGTTAGGGTTTCTTGTTGCTGTGAAGAGACATCATGGCCATAGCAACTCTTATAAGGAAAACGTTTAATTTAGTCTGGCTTCCAGTTCACAGGTTAGTACAATGTCATATGGCAGGGAGCATGGCAGACACAGGCAGACATGGTGCTGGAGAGGTAACTGACAGTTCTACAGCTGGATCGGCGGGCAATAGGCAGTATGAATGAGCCACTGGGCCTGGCTTGAGCTTCTGAAATCTCAAGGCCCACTCCGAGTGACACATAACCTCCAACAAGGCCACTCCTCCTATTAGTGCTACTCCCTATGAACCTTTGGGTGCCATTTTCATTAAAACCACCACACTAGGTTTCATATATTTTTTAATCACTGTAAGTCCTAAATGTTTATTTAAAGACCTTTTGAAGGTACTTAGACTCTGATATAGTGATTGTTTATTGGTTGTTTAAAATAGAAGAGAGGATCTGTTTTTATTCCAATTAAAATGTGATGTCAGTCTTAATTTTTTTACATTTATTTATTTGTATGTGTGCTGTGGACATATGTATGCTAGTGTGGGCATGTGGAGGTCAGAGGACAACCTGCGGGAGTTGATTCTCTCCTTCCACTCTGTGAGTCCTAGGGATCACACTCTCGTGATCAAGTTTGGTGGCAGGTGCCTTGTCTTTACCCATTGAACCATCTCTCTGACCTGAGTCCTAAATTGTTTTTGAATTACAGTGGTCAGTATGTTAGGGGACATGCAAGATATTTTGCTTAGCACTTTGCATGTTATATCGTTCTTGTTGTAAGAAAGCAGGTCATCTTAGTAGCAACCCTATGAATTTGATTTTCATTCTCATTATACTGGTAAGGAATTTAATACACGAAGGTTAAATAAGCAGGGGCAGGCAGTTGGTAAATGGAAAAACTTAGTCTCTAGCCCAGGCATTTTGACTTTTTGAGCCTGTTCCTTTATCTGCTACATCTCTTACTGTTTGGTTTTTGATAAAAAGTATTTTCAGATCTCTCTGCTATTGAGACTGCTAAAACCCCTAAACTCCACAATTTTTATATTTTCAAAGTATCTTAAACTGACTTAAAGTGCAGAATCACCATGAGCTTTAGATTTTAGTCTGGGCCTTGAGCAAAATGTTTTGGTTTTATTGAGGGGTGAGGGTTAGGGTTATTGTGCCATTTGTTCCTAGCTGTTTTGAAAATACTTTCTGTAAAGCCAATTGGAGACACATGGTGCCTGGAGCAGAGTAGGAAACACAGTCTACATGTGCATTTGTGTGTAGCTTATTTGAAACTAGTTATGGATAAGTATAACTCTTATATTACACATTTTTGTTGTTTCTGTCTTTTAAGTTTAGATCAGAAATGTTCGGAGGACCCCAGGAACTCCTGAGAGTTTCCCTGCCCCCATTTTTTTTTTTTTTTAAGTCAGGATCTCATGGCTCAGGCAGATCTCAAACTCTTAATCCTCCTACCTCATCATAGTGCTGGATTTCAAGGCACATCCCAGCAAACTTGCCTTTGAGATTCTTTAAAGAGGTATGTGAGGTTGAAGCCACTCTGTAAGATAGGATTTAGTTTTCTTTTTGTTTGCAGTCCCTTGGAGGATGCAGGGATGCTTTCCAGAACCTACATGGCAGACTACATTGACAGACTGAGTATAGAAGGATATATTAATTTCATCTGTTTTTTTGTTAAACCATCTGTTAAAATTTTTTTAAAAATGACTGGGCATGGTAACATGTATATAATCCTAGCACATGGAGGTAAAGGCAGGAGAATCAGGAATTTAAAGTCACCCTCAGCAACATATAGAGTTTAGACCAGCCTGGCTTACGTGAGATCCTTTCTTAAAAAAACTGAAAAAAAAAATTCACAAAAATGAAAAGCAGTGAGTGTTACCCTTTTTACTAAACTTTATTTTTTGAAAACATATTTTAAGTAATTTGTGTGTTACTTTACAATGGGTATAATTGTTTTAATTAAATATATAATTGGAAGTTCTTAATTTAAATTTTTAGTTCAGTTTGTTAGAGTGAATCCAGTGTATGTATACAAACTTTTTGTGTTCCTCACGATGTCAAAAGGAATCCTAAGACTCATTATGTTGAAAAGTACTTGTTTAGATTAGTTGTATGATATTAAGACAGATCTTGGGCTAGGCAGATAGCCCAGTGAGGAAAAGTGCTTGTTCTACAAACTTGAATATCTGGATTTGAATTCCTACCACCCACATGAAAAGCTGGGCGTGTCTGCCTGTGCTAGAACCCCAGCATTTGAACTTAGAAGCAAGTGGCTTGAAAGAGCTTGGTGGACAGTCAGTGTAGCCCAGACACCAGTCAGTGAGAGACTATCTCAAGGGACTAGGTGGAGATCAATAGAGGAAGATGCTTGACATCTATCACTGGCCTCTGCATCCCCACATGTGTGCATGTGCATGCACACGTATATGGAGAGTCTTGTTCTAGGAATAAAAATCAAGAGCTGAGAAAAGGAAACATTTTTATTACTTAACATGTCTTATGTTTTGAATTGTGTAAGCAGGAGACTGGAACCCACTGAGCGGCCTCTTCAGATTGTTTACGATTATTTAGCCAGGCTCGGATTTGAAGATCCCGTGCGCATACAGGAGGAGGCTACGAACCCTGACCTCAGCTGTATGATTCGATTTTATGGTGGTAAGAATTTATCAGTAGCTTTGTGAATGTTAACTACTTTTATATTATATTGATTATTTGTATCTTACTTTGTGTTTGCTGAAAGTATTTGATATCAAGTTATTTTTAAGTCAGTTAAATGAATCTCAACACAAGAACAAGAACAAATCAGGGACTAAAGGAAGCTTCCTTCCTTCCTTCCTTCCTTCCTTCCTTCCTTCCTTCCTTCCTTCCTTCTTTCTTTCTTTCTTCCTTCCTTCTTTCTTCTCTTTCTCTTTCTCTTTTTCTTTCTCTTTCTTTCCCTCTCTTTCTCTTTCTTTCTTTCTTTCTTTCTCTTTCTTTCTTTCTTTCTTTCTCTCTCTTTCTTTTTCTCTTTCTCTTTCTTTCTCTCTTTCTCTCTTTTTCTTTCTTTTTCGAGACAGGCCTTGAACTTACAGGGATCCACTGGCCTCTCCTCTCAGAGTGTGGACATTACAGGCCTGTACCACCTGGTTTAAAGGAAGCTTTTAAAAATTAGCAAAATATTAGCAAAAATATTTTCCCATTAAATGTTTACTCTTTTGCCCCAAACGTACTACAGTTATTTTTATATCTTTGCCAGGTTATGCTTTATTTGCATTTCTTAGAATTATTTTTGTTAGCCAGGAGGTGGTGGCTTTCATATACTTTTAATTCCAGCACTTAGGAGGCAGAGGCCAACAAATTTCTGAGTTTGAGGCCAGTGTAGTCTACATAGTGAGTTTCAGCACAGCTAGGACTACATAGAGAAATCTTATCTCGCAAAACCAAACCAACCAAACAAACAAACAAACAAAAAGTATTCTGTGTGTATGTGTGTTGCATGCGCTCATATCTGTGGTGCCCTTAGAGACCAGAAAAGGTGTTAGATGGGTGATTTTGTTTTCCACAAACTGAAAAGTGGTATATATTCCTTTCAGTTAATTGAAAAAAAAGGAAGGTACAAAAAGTATGTGTAGAGTAGAAGGGCAGTACATTTAGGTCCATCTTCTTGAGAGCTGTGAGAGTGAGAGAGTGAATGAGTGATTAAGTGCCAGAGAGAGAAATGCAAATAAAATCCTTTGGTGGTTTGTGGGGGAGAGTGTTGATAGTTTGAAGTCAAATCTGAGAAAAAGTAGGACCATTTTGAACTCATCTGTTGCTGTAAAACTTGCTTTTAAAAACCCAGCAGATAGCTGGAGAGATGGCTCAGAGGCTAAGAGCACGTGCTACCCTTGCAGTGGGCCTGACCTTGGTTTAAAGCACATGTGGACAGTGGTTGGGTCAGAACCAGCCACTGAGTAACTCTAGCTCCTAGGAATATGTCACCCTCTTCCGGCCTCTGTGGGCCCAGTACTCAAATGTACATACCCACGTACACATTATGAAATTAATACAACAAATATTAAAGTCGCGAGGTGAAATATCAGCGTGTTCCTTATTTGACTGTGATTGAACTGGGTTCTTTGTGCAGTCAGTGTTTTCATTCCAGAATGAAGGCTGAGCTTAAAATGCCTTGGGATTTCTTTTATATCCAAGGAGATAGCATAGTTATTGGCTCTGATGCCACCAATTTTCTAACACCACTTGATAAATTATCATATGACCAGAATCTTGATATGCCTTTAAAAGAATAGTTCCAGTATAAACTACAAGAGTAAGTTTGTGTTTGATGGTGGTTATGGCAGGTGCTAGACAGGAAACCTTAAAAAGTGAATTCTACCAGTTTAGATAAGCTAGTATAATTTGAAAAAGAAAATTATGTCCACTAAAGGGAATTTTTAAAGCTATTATTTTTTTTAAATAGGCAATATATGCATCTGGTGCCCCAACCAAAAGGTAACGAACAAGAAGGTAGGTAGAGAAGAAGGTAGGTAGACAGGGAGGTAGGTGGACAGGAAGTTAAGTAGAGGTAGACAGTAGGTAAATTATCTGTTGGCGAGGTAACTAATTGCTTCAGAGCATGGTAATGTAAAATCTATATTTTGTAGTTTTTATAGGTTGGAAATAAAGGAGCAGTTTTAGCTGGATGGCTCAGGTTTGAGTCTCATAAGACTGTTATCTGGGGCTTGAAGATCCCTCTTTCCCTCCTTTTGTTCTTATTTTTATTTTACATGTGTGTTCATGCCCCTACCATCTTCATGCCTGGTGCCCTTGGAGTCTCGTAGAGGCAGTAGGATCCCCTGGAACTGGTGTTAAAGATGGTTGTGAGTTATCTAAACATCAAGTACTCTTAATTGCTGAGTTATCTCCCCAACCTAAGTCACTTAAAATTTCTTTGTTTTACATTTATGTATGTATGAATGTGTGTGTATGTGTATATTCATGGTGTTCATGGGGAGGTCAAAGGGCAACCTGTGAGAGTCAGTGCTGTCCTTCCACCATCTAGATCCTGTGGTTGGCCAGCCTTAGAAGCAGGCAGTTTACCCTCAGTTGAAGACTCACTTTTATTATGGCTTAAAAGCTGTTGGTTAGAGGCATTGGTTCCTGACTGACCATTGGTAGACACTTTGGCTCTTGGTTATGTAGACTTTCCATGGACTGCTTAACTGTGTCTACCCAGGGTAAAAAATTACCCCTGCCTACACCATCTGCACACACATGCAGGCTTCAGCATCTTTTTTTTGACAAGTTATCTTCATTTTTACCATTTTCTGTTTACTGAAGCTGGAGAGATGGCTCATCTGTTAAGAATGCATACTGCTCATGTAAAGGACACATGTTAGGTTCCCAGTACCCATGTCAGGCAAATGAAAACCACCTGTAACTCCAGCTTCAGGGCATCAGACTCCCTTCTCTAGCCTCTGGGTACCTATACTCACGTGCTCAGACACACAGGCACACACACATAATTAAAAAAAAAAAAAAAAGAATCTGAAATCTTAAAAAAACAAAAACCTGAGTCATTAACCACATCCTGCATTACAGAAGGGGAAGGGGATTAGGTTCTCATTTTTAAAGGTAAGAGTATCAGAGAATGTTTGACATATCAAGATTATCAATAAAAGAATACTTTCTTCTTTTCCCAGTTCCCAAATCCAGAGACATTAGAGTTAGCAGAAAAAAAGAAAATGTTTCAAGTATTCTCAGTGAGCAAAGTGCTACATAATCATTTTAAATATTTCACGTGTAAAGTTGTTGTGTTCTGCATACTACATACAGTACAGTCGCTGAGGCCAAGGTCATGCGGGGCCTAAGTTCAAACCAGCTAGCCTTCTTGTGTTCCCTAGCTACAAAGGATAGCCAGTACAAGGGCTATGGAAGACAGCTTTGGAGGAAGCTCAGTCAGTGGTAGAGTGCTTGCTTAGCTTGTGGAAAGCCTTGGATTCTCTCCCCAGTGCTGTGGGGATTAGCAGTGGCGGCCATGGGGATATATTTTTCACTGAAGTTGAGTGGCCGGCATGATCAGTCATGACGATTTGAAGTACATTAATTTCCTCCTTTATTTGTATGAGAAGAAACGGAGTCTCAAGGATGTGATTTGCTATTGGTTGTAGTTGTAGGTGAGTAGCTCAGGGTGTCCTCCTTCATCATGGTATCTGCCTACATTGTTTAAAATTTTAGTGTAAAGAATATAAATGCAAATGAGAAACCACACACAAGAATCCTGTATTAGTTACTGTTCTGGTTGTGATGATAAGATGCTTGTCAAAAGGAAGTCAAGACTACAGTGACCCTGCCACTTTGAACATTTGACTTAAGGAAAACGTTTATTTTAGGTCTCAGTTTGAGGGGAGGTTTTGGCAGCAGGAGTACATTGGGAGGCAAGTGGTTACATTGCATCCACAGTCAGGAAGCAGACAGGATGCTGGCCTCAGCTCTGTGACCAGCCCATGGGCAGGGTACCCACAATTAGGATGAGTCTTCCTCTTCCACTAAACCTTTCTGGGAACCCTTCATAGACACATTCAGAGCTCTGTTTCTATGGCAGTTCTAAGTCTTGTCAAGGTGATGATTAATTAATATAAATCACACAGTATGTTTTCATTTAAAGTTCAAAAACAAGCTGGGCAAGTTGCCATTTACCTGTAGTCTCGGCCTTGCCTAGTAGAGGCAGAAGAATCAGCAGTTAACGTGTGTTCTCGGCTACATTCTAAGTTTAAGAGCAGCCTGTGGCACATGTGACTCTGTCTCAGAAAACAAAACAATCATCAACAACAAACCCTCAAACACCCAAGAGTTGACACACATAAATCTCAGCCATATTGTTTGGAGGTGTGAGAGCATAAGGTCTTGAGTTGCAGAGTGTGGATTGCATGTGACGATTGCCCAGATCTACTTCATTCCCCAGCCCATCTCAGCTGTGCGTATTTGACTGTGTTCTCTTCATGATAGGAAGTGGAATTAATGAGTGCCACTTCTATGCCTTGTTCTGTTCCTCAGTGCTGTCTTCCTGTTCTGAGGGCCTGGATGACAATAGTCAGAACAATATTTGAAGTCAGATGTTACAAGTGTCAGGGCCACTGCCATGCTGAGTTTCTGAAGAGCAGTATTGATCTCTGGCTACCAAGAATGCCAGCCTGGGCAGAGTCAGAGCTTACATTTGTGCCAGTATGTCCTGTTGTGGTAGTTTAACCTGTATGATATAGGATGTATGCATTATAAATGACAACTGTAAAGAGAACAGGAGGTGACAGTTGGGGAAAGGGAAGAGGCTGACTTCCAGCATATAAGAGGAGGACATGAGTCGTTTGACTAGAACTTTTGAGTCACTACAGGCATATATTTTAAATTTTGACTAAATGTTCCTAAATTACACAAATAATGTATTACCAGTAAGCACTTTGTTCAGTAGAGCTTGTTTTTCTACATCTTTTTCAATATCAAGTAACATTGTTAAAAATTAATCTTTTTATGGCACACACCTGTAATCCCAGAACTCAGGGAGGCAGAGGCAGGCGGATCTCTTTGAGTTCGAGGCCAGCTTGGTCTACAAAGTGAGTCCAGGATAGCCAGGACTATGGAGAGAAACCCTGTGTTGAAAAAAACAAAACCAAAATAAAAAATAAAACAGAATGAATCTTTTCCCAATTTCCAAAAACCCATACTGACTCAGGTTAATTTGCATATCTGAAACTTGTTTGTTAAATATAGGTGTGCTGGGGCTGGAGAGCTGGCCCCATACTTAAGCCAGCAGATACTGCTCTTGGAGAGGACCTAAACTCCAGCACCCACAGAGGTGCTCACAGCTGCCTCTAACTCCAGCTCCAGGGAGGGCTGATGCCTCTGGCCTCTGGCCTCTGCAGCTATTTTTGTTCATGTGCTGCACAGGCACACACACACACAATTAAAAAATAAAAATAAATCTTAAAAGTGTAGAAATACTCAATAGGAAAACATCCCACTACACTAATACATTACTCTTATGGTCTGTGTTTTTTACTCTTATTTTATATGCATATTATATATTTATAATTATTGTGTTTGTGTTTTATTTAGAAAATTTTAATTATATAAGTAAAATACAAATATGTCATTATCTATATTTAATTTTTTTACATTTACTTTCCACGCTCATTAACGACTTTAATAGTTAATAGACAGTAGTTCCTATTGTCAGTTTAGTATGTATCTCTTCATTTTAAGTGTTGATGAACGCTTTGTTGGGAATGTCTGGCTGGTAGTAGAAGCTTAGAAAATACAGATCTGAGAGGACCAGACTCCCTAAGGAGTGGAAATTAGAATGTAGGCAGAGGGATTGGATTAAGTGGCCATAAGTAAGTCTGGTGTTAACAATATTTTTGAGTAATACAGTTTTGCGTCTTTGAAGTATTTGACCCATTTCTTCATATTACATATGCAGAAATGCTTGAGTAAGTGATCAAAGTGGTACCTGAGGGTACCAGGTCAATCGTGGTCATCTCTGAAGAACTCTGTTTACTATTTGTACCATTTTTTTTTATTTCTGCTGCTTTCCTTGGTTATTTATTTTGATTTTGAGTGATTGCTTGTGAGTATGATTGTGTATGTGTACAGGCACATGTTTTCCATAGCACAAATATGAAGTAAGAGAACAATTTGTAGGAGCTGGTTCTATCCTTCCATTGTGGGTTTTGGGGGTTGGATTCAGGCCCTTTTGCCAGCTGAGCCCCACTGATTTCTCTGTTTGGTACTTGTCTCCATGTCAGTGCCCTCACATCTTAGTCTCAGTGTTTTGTTCTGATCACTGTATCTCATGATGGAAAGGAAGATACTTAAAGAGAAGCTGGTATGTGCTCTGATTCTGCTTTCATTATGGGAACATCGACTGAAATACCACCCATAAGCTTTTCTTGCAAGAGCCAGAGAGGTGGAAGATTACATACAGAATTAGAGAACTCTTAAATTTTACGTTCTAAAATGGATTGATGTCAGTAATGACTATCATTTATTCTGTGCATCTTTTGTACCCCCATTATGCTCAGTACTTCATCTTATTTTACTTCTTTATGAGAATACCCTGGAAGGTGGGTTAATAAAATCCGAGACAATACAGGACAATACAGTCTAACTTTGAGGAAGGTAAGCTTACTGGACCAGGTAATTGAAGGGAGTGGCATAACTTGCATTCAGGCTAGTGTGCCTGAACCCAAAGTCCATGATCTAGACACCTTGCAAGAAAGGTGGCTGTTAGGAGAAGGGTGACATCTGAGGTAAAGTCTTATTTCCACTATATAAGTGCAGTGGTGGGGTATTATTTTAGGACCGAAATCTTTTTTTTGTAAAACCCATATTGCTTCGTTCCTCTTATCTATAAATAGAGATACTGAATGTTGGCACATACATTTTCCTTTTCCAGTATTATGTTACTTTAATGGTACATTCTGAAGTACTGTTTTCTTTTTAGAAAAACCATGCCAGATGGATCATCTGGATCGAATCCTACTGTCTGGCATCTACAATGTACGAAAAGGAAAAACCCAGCTGCACAAATGGGCTGAACGCCTAGTTGTTCTGTGTGGTACCTGCCTTATTGTTTCCTCAGTGAAGGATTGTCAAACTGGAAAGATGCACATTTTGCCTCTGGTTGGGGGAAAGGTAAGGTTTATAAATTTTAAATATTATCTTGGTCATTAAGGAATGTTAAGGGTAGGCTGGAGAGATTGTCCAGTTGGTAAAGGAAGATCTGGAGGACCTCAATTTGATCTTCAGAATCCCTGTTTATTAAGGACATGAACAAACAATAACATTAACAAACAATAACAACAACACAAAACCAAGTGTGGTGGTACATGTACTCTTAGTTCTGAAGAAGCAATGACAACAGATCTCTGGGCCTTGTTGCCCTGCCAACCTAGCCCATTTGTCAACTCCTGGTGAATCAGAGACCCTGTTTGAACAGACAAGGTGGGCTGCTCTCAAGTAATGACTCCCAGGTGGTTCTATGGTCTCCACATGCATATATGTGCATGCACATATGAACACACACACACAGCAACCTAGGCTGTAGCTCAGTGACACAGTGCTTGTCTAGCAATTGTGAGTCTCTGGGTTTAATCCTCAGCATTGAAAAAAATGAAAGGAAAGGAAAGGGAAAAGGAAAAAAAGGAAAAGGAAAGAAAATATTCTGCCTGATTTTCATAGAAACGAATAGGAATATTATAAAAGATTATATCAGAGGCTGTTGGGAGGTTCCAGAGCTCTCTAATGTCCCAGTGCTGTTGCAGAACTGTCTGCTCCATACTCAGGGACTCAGTGCAGTAGCCGATAACACCAAGATGCTGTTACCAGGATGCTGCATAGAAGCTGCTTTTGGAAACTAGAAGCAGCTTCCAAGATAAATTCTTTGAGGTTTCTTCTTTTTGCCCATTAGTTTAAAACAGAGAGTTGGGTGGTCATGAGCCTCAATTATGCAGCTAGGGAAGTGTGACAAATCTGTATCTGTCCTAGAAAAGGTCATTTGCTAGTTAGACCAAAGTGACAGGTGCCCATAGGTAGGTTAATATTTATAGGACGCTAGCTTCAATGTTTTGAGGCTTGACTAGCATAACTAGTGTGAACTGAAGAGGATTCACAGTCAAAATGACCTTTGAAAATCATGTTTTGAAGTGTGCAGTTGGTCTAGATATATATCAATATAGACTATAATACATGTATTAAAAAGACAGATAACATGGACTGGAGAGATGGCTCAGAGTGCAAAAGTGCTTGCTCCGAAGTCCTGGAAAAAACCAGGAAAAGTTATGTTAATGAAGATATCCATAAACTCATCAAGAAATAAACTCATTTCAGATTGAGGTGGAAATAAATGGGTACCCTGAAAATAAGTATGCTTAGGATTTTGTGAGACAAAGTAGAACAACAAAAATTCGGAAATCAGAATCCTGGGGAGGATTCAGGAAAACCTTAGGAATGGAAATATGATTTAAATATAATTTAAAAATAATGGGCTGGAGACATGGCTTAGCATTGGCTGCTCTTATTCAGGACCCAGATTCAATTCCAGTGGCATCCACAGGGCAGCACACATCTATCTGTAACTCCAGTTCCAGGGAGTCCCATGTTCTCTTGGCCCAAGACATGTGCAGTCACACACAGACACATTAATAAAAATGAAAACTGAAAATTTTAAAACATTTTTTTTTTACATTGGAATACTTCAGTCAAGATTTAGAGAATCATACATAGTTAAATACTGAGGAAGTTTTATGAATTACTGATAAGAAATAGAAATTTGCTGGGTGTAGTGGCACACACCTGGAATCCCAGCATGCAGAGAGGCAGGGGCAGGTGGATCTCTGTGAGTTTGAGGCCAGCCTGATCTACAAAGTGAGTCCAGGACAGTCAAGGCTACACAGAGAAACCCTGTCTCAAAAAACAAAACAAAACAAATTAAACATTTCCATATAATTATGTATATAATTATGTTAATTGGTATTATATAAATAGGCATTTTAGTTTTATATATGTGCAACTTTGGAAATTATTAACTATTAATGGTCAGATGGTCCTTTTATCATTTTGTAGTGGGTGGGGCTTCTTGCCACAAACCTTTTTCCATTAGTCTTTCTTTTTGTTTATTTTTTTTGTTTGTTTGTTTAAGGCAGGGTCTCACTATATACCCCTGGCAGGTCTGGAACACCCAGAGACCTCTCTTCCTCTGCCTCCCAGTGCTGGGATTAAAGGTGTGTTCCACCCCACCCCCCAGCAAAGTTTTTTGTTTGGTTTGGTTTTTTAAATTGGAAGGGTGAGTTGTACAGAGATATAATTTAATCTCTAAAATGAAATTCACTTAATTTTTAAAAAATTATTTACTCCTTTCATTTTATTTTATGTGTGTGACTGTTTTATCTGTATGTGTATATGTGCACCATTTGTGTACCTGGTGCCCTTCCAGGCTAGAGAAGACATCAGATCTCATGGGACTAGCGTTACAGATAGCTGTGAGCCACCTAACATGTTAGGATCAGAACTCTGGTCTCCTGCAAAGATATCAAGTGTTCGTAATTACTGAGCCATCTTTCCAGTTCCTCATAGTAAAACATTTAAATTAATATATTTATTTATTGGTTTTCAAGACAGGGTTTCTTCTGTGTAGCTCTGGCTTTGAACTCCCAGAGATACATCTGCCTCTGCCTCCCTAGTGCTGGAATTAAAGGCATGCACCATTACCGGGCAATTATTCTAGAACATTATCTGTTCGTTTCAATGAAATTCTTTGTTTCGACAGCAATTTCTATAGTTCACTGATTTCTTAACAATGAACAATGATTATGTTGTGAATACCATAATTTAATGTTGCAAAAATTCTGTAGTTTTAATGAGTCTGTACAAGGTGCTTTTTTTTTATTTTTTTGCTCAAAGTATTTTGTGTTTCTGCCTCTTGGTTCTGTCTTTAGTAAGCACTAGAATGTATGATTTGCAAGTATAACTTGTAAGCCAATTTGTGGCTGGTCTGCCAAGATTCAGAAGCAGTGTCATCCAAAGACAGAAGTGGGTCCTTGGTGGTGGGAAGAGTGTCTCCTTAGCAAGTCTGTAAGTTGAGCTGTCCCAGTTTACGGAAGAGTCCCCCTTTTTTCTTTTTTTGAGACAAAGATGTCTAGGTAGCCCGGAATGACCTGGAATTCTCTTTGCATCTGCCTCCTGGGTGCTGGGATTACATGTGTGTACCCCCACATCCCGCCTTTGTTGTGGTTTGATTTTCCTCTCCATAATGGATGTTGATGTTGTGCGTTATTTCATACTCTTGTTGGTTTTTTGTATATGTTCTTTGGAGAGATGTCTGATCAGAATCTTTGCCATTTTAAAAAGTGTGTCTTGTTACTGCTTTTTGACTGTCATTTCTGATTAGTGGTTTTGATTTTCTCCTCCTCTTCTTCAGATAGAAGAAGTGAAGCGCCGGCAACACTCCCTTGCTTTCAGCTCAGCTGGAGCCCAAGCCCAGACCTATCATGTCAGCTTTGAGACTTTGGCTGAGTACCAGAGATGGCAACGACAGGCATCTAAGGTTGGAAACTTGTATAGGAGTTGAGGATGTAGCAACAAGTGCCCTTAACATCACACTTGGTTTTCCGTAGGCATTTCGCTGAGTCATTCCTTATTTATACTTGCAGGCAAAATGTTTTCAGGACGTTTCCCTCTGTACCATCTTTGTGAGATGTGTCTTAGGTGGACTTAAGACACAGTGAAGTTTGCCCTTTAGAGGAATTGAGACATGAGATTTGCATTGCTTCCCATCTGCCACATTGGTCACTGATTGATATATCTGTTTCATGGCTTATAGCCTACAGCTTCATGTCTGTACACTTTTAGAACAGCCTTGAAGAAGCACTTAAAGGTGACCTTATTGATGGGACATAACCTGTGATGGTGTCACAAATCCCTCTTCTGGTGTGTTGAGGATAGCTGACGTTTCAGCATAGCTTCTTAGCTGCTAAAGATGCATTACTCTAATGTGTGCTGCAAGTCCAGAACTGCTGCCCTTTGTTTTCTTGGCAGCAGTATGCAGAAGAGGCACCACAGTGCAGTGGCATGTCTCAGGACACAAGTGAGTTTCATCATGTTTTAAACACATTATAGCCATATTTATTAGTGTGGCATTACAGGTTTTAAAGATGATTCAGGGTTTTTTTGTTTGTTTGTTTGTTTTTGTTTTTTTTCCTGTGTGTATCAGTTATAAAATCTGTTCCATGTAAAACTGGTTTCACTTGTGAGTAACTTCCATCCTTCTTCCTCTTTAAAGAGAAGTTACTGTTTCTTGACCATCTTTGGCATACTCAACAATGTGCTATATGCTTTCAGTAGAAGAAAATACTTTACAGAGATGTGATGCTACAAAAGGAATTTTGTCCCACACTGTTTCTTATTAAAACTTGCCTATTTTGAGTCAATGTATCATTGTTTCTGATATGAAATGTTAAATTTTAATTCCCTATGGTGACATAAGCAGCTTTTTTCTTTTCCTTTCTTCTTTTCATCCTTTTCTTTCTTCCTTCCTTTTTATTAAAGATAGGGTCTCATTTACATTGTATTGGCTGGCCTGAAACTTATTCTGTAGCCTAGGCTCACCAAACTTTTAGTGATCCTCCTGCCTCAGGATCCCAATTACTAGAATTTTAAGCATAGACCCACTATGGATTTTTGTTTTCAACTTTTTGTTGTTTTTGATAGGCTGGCCTTAATCTCCCTATGTAACCAAGGCTGGCTTTGATTTACTAATCATCCTATATCCACCTCCCCAGTGCTAGAATTACAGGCCTTTTGTTTTTTAAAGCAATTTATAGTTTTAGGGAAAAGTAAAAATTAACTGGTTTTTATAAATGAATAATAGCATCTCTACTTTTTCCCCTTTCTTAGTTTATAGTCAGTACTTTTTGTATAAATGCCATTCTAGCCTGTGTTACATGAAATCACTCAATAGCTCAGGAGGCTTTTCTTTTTGCTCTTTTTCAGGTAGTGTCCCAGCGGATCAGCACTGTGGACCTCTCATGTTACAGCCTTGAGGAGGTTCCTGAGCATCTCTTCTATAGTCAAGATATCACCTACCTCAACCTGCGACACAACTTCATGCAATTAGAAAGACCAGGAGGCCTTGATACACTCTACAAGTATGTAGAGAAGAGGTTTCCAGACTACTATGTTGAAAATGAAATGTTCACACTTTCGGTGGACAAGTTGACTGAATTAATCCATTCCTCATTTCTATAACAAAGTAACCAGAGGCTGGTAGTGTGTAAAAATAAAAGATTTAAATGTAAGATCAGATAGTCCATTCGCTTCAGGATATCATGGTGGATGGTGGGTGCCCACATAAGAGGGAGAAGTGGGATGGCAAGACAGGAAACCAGGGATATTTAGTGCTCAGTGCTTGCTCTTTTATAACAACCCATTTATTTTGGGAACTAACTCACTGCGTAATCTTTTCCCAGGACAAAATGTTCAGTGACATAATTACTTCCTCTTCCTCTTTTCTGTTTATTTATTTTAGTGAGGTTGAGGATTGAACCCAAGACTCTCTGTATGCTAGACAAGTGTTCTGCCACTGAGCTATACCCTAACCCTCACCTCTTACAGGTCTGTCGTTTTCAGTCCTGCCACACTGATACCATGCTTCTACCATATGAACCTTTGAGGGATGAATTCATTGGCACATTCCATCATATTTTCTAAATTTTTACTGAAGCACAATTTTTATTCACACAATCTCTCTCCTCGTTATCTCGTTATTCTCCCTATAAAACAAGGTTGATGAAATGTTCTGTTTCAAAGACTATAATGAATTACCATTGATTTTCATAATCTGTTAGTGGTTTGTTTTTCTTTTGTCTTGAGACAGGATCTCAGTGTGTAGTTTTGGCTGGCCTGGAACTGAATTAATTTGTAGCCCAAGCTGACCTTGAACTCATAGAGATCCACCTGCCTCAGCATCCTGAGTGCTGTCATTAAAGGCATGTGCCACTATGCCAGGCTTAGGATAATCTTTTTATTAATACTAAAACATATTCTGCATTGATGATAAAGCATGATTTGCAGCCATGGTAGATTGAGAGATTCCATAAGTGGACAGTTTTTTAATCAAAAGTTTTGAATCGAAATGGCTGTAAGCTGATCAGTCTTTGTCTTTTCTTTGTGTCTGCTCCCAAGTCTTTTGTCATTCCTGAAACCTTTCTCTGCCGATAACGGAAACATTTCATCCCTACAAGATTGTGATCTATGTTTTTTTTTTTTTTTGTTTGTTTGTTTTTGTTTTTTTCTTTTATCTTTTTTGTTAGAATATATTTTACCTTCCTACTCTCCCCACATTTCACCTTATATTTTCACCTAAAACAGCATGAGAGACCAGCCTGGGCTACATTAAGTGAGACCACGTCTCAAAAAATTACACAAAACACAAAAAGTGGATGCCCATGAATACTAACAATATGTGATTGTAGGCTTTTACTGGGGAAGGGAAAAATTGAAAATCAAAGCAAACTGTTTTTTTTTTGTTTGTTTTGGTTTGTTTTGATTTTTCGAGACAGAGTTTCTGTGTAGCCTTGGCTGTCCCGGACTTGTTTTGTAGACCAGGTGGACTTGAATTCAGAGATCCACTTGCCTCTGCCTCCTTGAGGTGTTAAAGGTGTGTGCTAACACACCCAGCTAAAGCAAAGTGTTTTACATTACATGGTGAATAATGTGCTTTAAAATGACATGTTTTACATCCTCGTGTTAGTAACATAATTCTTACCCATATAATCTTCAGAAACACACTGGTATTTAAAATCTAATCTTTTACAAGTACAAGTATATGTCAAGTAAATATTTAGTAATGATGCAGGTATTTGACTCATATTTGTATAGTAAATTAAGATAAGCTATAATATTAAAGAAGTCAGTCTTTAGAATTTTTTTTTTTCTGAGTTGCCCTGAAGCTAGAATTGATCTAGTTACAGAGCTTGGGCAGAGATTCTGAAGTCAAGGCACCTGGACAAAGAATAGGAAGCAATCAAGTCAGGTCACCTGGAAGTCAGACGTTGAGGTTTGGAAGAGGAGCCTTAGAGTAAGGTACCATGGGTTCCATTCTCAAGGGCAGGAGGACAGTGTCTTTGACTTATCATCATCTTACACTTGTATGATATAAAACATGATGTTTCGTATACCTGTTTTTTGGCCACACTATCTCAAGGCAAGATAATATGGAAACTTTTATTCTGTGAACAGATGGCAGCAACACAGGATTCATGTAAATCAGATCAGTTTACCATACAAGGCTGTCAGATGTTTTCAAGCTCATCTGATCTATTTATTTCAAGTGACATTTGAGCCAATATAATTTCAGTGTAAAAAGAGTTGCTTATGCTGGGTGTGGTGGCCCTTGCCTTTAATCCCAGCACTCAGGAAGCAGAGGCAGGATATCTCTGTGAGTTCAAGGCCAGCCTGGTCTACAAAGGGAGTCCAGGACAGCCAGGGATACACAGAGCAACCCTGTCCTGAAAACCAAAAAAAAAAAAAGAGGGGGGGTTGCTTATAATGTGCTATGTATTTGTTATTGTGGTATCTGAATAGATTGTTTTGTATATTTCATGTTGACATTTAGTAAAGTAAGATTAAGTGTATTAAGTGTGACTCAATAGAAAGTGATTGTTGCAGCATGAACTCCCATGTACATTTTCTGCCTCATTAGGGGAATTCTCTTGACCAGGTTTCATTGACAGCGTGGACTATGTTTTAACTACTTTACTAGCCTCTGTGTTCATAAAACATTTGTTAGCACATAAATGAAAACATGTTTTTAAAACAGATTATTTGGTGCATATTTAGCTGCAAATGGAGACAAGACTTTGAGTTTGAGGCTGGTCTATGCTACATTATAAGTTCTAGGCTGTTCTGGGCTACATAGAAGGACCCTGTCTTCAACAGCAATAACAAAATAGTCAGTAAACAAAATAAATCATCAAAGTCCATTGATGGTCTTCCTGTAAAGACATATAATGGATATATTAGTTATTCATACCATCACAATATGGAAATATGGTCTGTATTGTGCCTTTGTTTTTAGATTTTCTCAACTGAAGGGCCTAAACTTGTCCCATAATAAGCTTGGAGTGTTTCCTGTGTTGCTGTGTGAGATTTCTACCCTGACTGAACTCAACCTTTCATGTAATGGATTTCATGACTTGCCAAGTCAGATTGGCAATCTGCTAAAGTAAGTGTTAGCTCTTCCTAGGTTCTTCTTTCTTTTGCGGGGACCTCCTGATCTTAGGATGCAAGCAATACTTTGAGCTTTCATGGTGAGATAAGTCATATCCTTACCAGGATTCTATTAAGCAATGGCTCTTGACACCAGAGGTGACTATGCCACCAAGCAGTGACCCATTCCCTCCATTTCAGCAACAGAGACCCTAGGTCTTTAGTGTCTGAAGCCCCACCCTTAAAGAGTTATGACTAAGCCTCTGTTTAGTCTCCATGGGCCAAGATTTGGGGGATTTTGTCATGTTTGGATTGTTAATGATTAGTGACATGGCTTAATAATGAATTACAAGCCCTATTGTTGGTTCTGTCTGTAAGTTTGTTTGTGTGAGCTGTTCCATAATGCAGGCTTGTTTGTTTTCCACAGTCTTCAGACCCTCTGCCTCGATGGCAACCTTCTCACCACTCTACCCGATGAATTGGGAAACCTGCAGCAGCTTACTTCTCTGGGAATTTCCTTCAACAATTTTAGTCAAATTCCTGAGGTTTTGGAGAAACTCACCATGTTAGATAAAGTGGTTATGGCAGGAAACTGTTTGGAAGTCTTAAACCTAGGGGTGCTGACCAGGATGAGCCATGTTAAGCATGTGGATCTAAGGTGAGGCCACTCTGTATGAGAACTTCCTTAGCTTTGCTGTGATGGACCTTGATGGCTTCTCCTCATAAGGACTTCTTTACTTCTTTAGAACATTAGGAATTTAAAACAGCATAAAAATAGATGTTCTCAGGTCTGTAGTAAAACGTTGTTATTCACGCAGTAGCAGAGAGTAAAGATCTGGCGGGTTGTCAATGACAGACTTAGCTTGCTGACGACTGTCTGACGTACTCTTTCAACAGCATTGACTGAGAATTTCTATTTTCTTGAACCTTTATCTGTAGTGGATTTCAGTATTTTATTTTTATTTTTTTATTGTCAAGAGAAGGTACAGTATTGTTTCATTGTTTTAATGAGCATTTGGTTATTTATGAGTGATGTTGAACATTGTTTTGTATGGAGACTAGTGGTTTCCAGTTTTCTATAAATTTAACCATTTTTCTGTTGAGTCACTTTTCCCTTGGTAACATTATGTTGTCGTTGAAATGTTAAAGGCTTCAAAACTAAAAACCTTCTTAGGAGTTGTGTTTTGTAGTGACAAGCTTTTCCTAAAGGAAGGTGGTAGAGGATGTGCGCTAGGTCTTTTCTTATTTCAGAACACTGATAGTGAGCCCTGAAAAGACATAGACAGGGATTTAGCAGTGCACAGAAGGAGAACAGGCTAGTTTGTGACAGTCATATAGGTGTAGAGAAAGAAACAGAAACATTTTGTGAAGTTTGCACTTAAACCATTCGTGTACATTTAGGTTGTTCTCTGCTTAGTGCATATGAGTCTTAGCCCTAGAGAAAAAGAGGTATAGCCACAGAGAAAGGGCAGCTGTTCCTGTCACTTAGCTTCTCACTTGCCCAGAGCATGCCTATTCCCCACTTGACCTTACTAGGTACTCAGATGTTGGTGTATATAGTGCCTTTTTCCCTCTCCAATTTGTGTATGTGTTTACCAGTTCTAACTCAGCTGGGTCTTGAGTTTTTTTTGGTTTTTTGTTTTTGTTTTTCCTGTAAATCAACTCTGGTTGTGTTCTGTAGTACTTTGAAAAATGAAGCAGGTAATGAAATTCTCAAGTTCAGTACAGAGAGGAAAGGGTCATACCTTGCCTATGTTTTTATACATGTAATAGAAATTCTTTTCAATTATTTTCCTACTTCTGAATATTAAGGATGAACCAGTTGAAAACGGTGATTATTGAAAATCTGGAGGGAAATAAACACATCACTCACATGGATTTGCGGGACAATCAGTTGACTGATTTGGACCTTAGCTCCTTATGTGGCTTGGAGCAGCTGCACTGTGAGCGGAACCAGCTGAGGGAGCTGGCACTCAGTGGCTTCTCCCTTCGAACCCTCTACGCCAATTGGAACAGTGAGTTTTCTATCTAACCTCCTGTTTTGCTCTTTCACCTGTAGTCTGAGCTTTCTGAGAAGTGTGGTGTCTGTGGTCCTTCTCAGCCACTCTGCAGAATGGAGTTGTGTCCCTGTGCTTTCTCTTTTAATTTTGCCAGTAGCCCTGAAGCAGTGGATATATACATAAAGAGACATGGCAGGGTACTTTGAGAGTCATTGTGTGAGCACAGTAAGAGGCATTTTGCAAAATCATAGGGGTCGGGTAGGTGGATGAGCTTGTTCAAACCAGAGCATCTGTTATGAAGTAGGCGTTGGTACACTTACAGCCAAGGGCCTAAATCTGTCCTAGTCCTCCTTTTTGCATAGTCTATAAAGAATGGTGTCTTAGTTAGGGTTTCTATTGCTGCAACAAAACACCATGAAAAAAAGTTGGGGAGGAAAGCAAGTTTGGGAGGAAAAGCTTACATTTCCACATTGTGATTCATCACTGAAGGAAGTTAGGACAGGAACTCAAAACAGGGCTGGAATCTGGAAGCAGGAGCAGATGCAGAGGCTGTGGAAGTATGCTGCTTATTGGCTTTCTTCTTGTGACTTGCTCAGCCTGCTTATCAAACCCAGAGCCCTCCCCAATTGATCACTAATTGAGAAAATGCCTTACAACTGGATTTCATGGAAGCATTTCTTCAACAGAGACTCTTTTCTTTCTGATGACTCTAACTGTATAAGTTGACACAAAACCAGATAGTATAAATTGTTTTTATATTTTTTAAAAGTTGGGTTAAAAATTATAATAATATTTGTGACATGAAATTTAAGCATTTATATTCATAAGTTAAGTTTTATTGGTATGTACTCACAGGTTTACGCATCAGTTTTTTCATATGGAGTAAGGCACTGTTATGGTCCAAAAACCCTGAAGTGTTTCTTTTAGCCTTTTAAAGAAAAAGTTGGGGCTGGAGAGATGGCTCAGTGGTTAAGAGCACTGTCTGTTCTTCCAGAGGTCCTGAGTTTAATTCCCAGCAACCACATGGTGGCTCACAACCATCTATAATGAAATCTGATGTGACGGCATACATTCAGACAGAACATTGCATACATAAATAAATAATTTTTTAAAAAAGTTTAAAAGTTTCCCAGTCTCTAATGGTTCTAGTGTGAGAAGACCCTGTTCCAGTAGTATAGTGAGCACAAATGCCAGAATCAGACATGTGTGTGCTCTCCACAGTTAACCATTGGCACAGTGGTAATAAATAAACAAGGGTTTGTGGTTCCCGTGACAGAAATCTGTTATACAACCTGCCTACCTTGGTAGCCTGGCTGAGGTGTTCTTTTATTCTAGTCGTAATTACTAATACCAACTCTTATGTCATACAGTAGACAGTATATATGTCTATATGCACATATGTGGTTTATAGAATGAATATAAGTTTAAAGAGACTGCAGAAGAGTTTAAGAGGTTTCAGAGAGTCAGTATTGATAAGATAATGAATCAGACAAGTGCCAGGAGAGAGCTGTTGTAGTTTGGTTTGAGAGCAAAGCTACAGAGTTCAGTTCCAAGGTGAACGGCTGAACAGAACCATGGTCTGAGAGTTGGGAATGGATTAAGAGCAAGAAACAGCATGTCAGTCAGGTCCAGGTCCAGGTCCAGAGAGGAAAACAGATAGACCGAATAGGTAGTTGCAGACCACATGAAGATCAGGAGATTGAGCTGAGCCTGAAGCTCAGGAATAGTAGGGTAGGCCTTTGTCTGTCTGTCTGTCTGTCTGTCTCTCTCTTTCTCTCTCTCTCTTCAGGTATCAGATGGTAGGTTGGTGTGTATTCACACACACACACACACACACACACACACACACACACACACACACACACACAC